AATCTGTGGAGCTGGAAGCTGAGAACTGGCGACTTTGTAGTACAACTTTAGTACGCGGAGTATCTGGGGAGCTGGAAGATGAGAACTGGCGACTTTGTAGTACAACTTTAGTACGCGGAGTATCTGGGGAGCTGGAAGATGAGAACTGGCGACCTTGTAGTCAACTTTAGTACGCGGAGTATCTGGGAAGCTGGAAGATGAGAACTGGCGACTTTGTAGTACAACTTTAGTACGCGGAGTATCTGCGGAGCTGGAAGCTGAGAACTGGCGACTTTGTAGTACAACTTTAGTACGCGGAGTATCTGCGGAGCTGGAAGATGAGAACTGGCGACTTTGTAGTACAACTTTAGTACGCGGAGCAATCTGTGGAGCTGGAAGCTGAGAACTGGCGACTTTGCAGTGCAACTTTAGTACGCGGATGAGTCATCTCTCGCGGCTGAGTCATCTCTCGCAGCTGCTCTGGCGCCCCTGCAGCTGAGTCATGTCTCCCGACCACCCGGCTCTCTTAAAAGGTTGACACACACACAGAGACCCACGCACTGCCTCAACTTACTCGGAGAGACACACACACAGACAGAGACTCATACACACACAGACATAGATACACACACAGAGACCCACACACTGCCTCAACTCACTCGACTTAACACTTCACACTGAACACTTAACAGATAACTCACACTCTGACTTCCTACGTGATGAAAAATGCTTTCGGGCCACTCGTCGTCTAGTTTTTTATATGTTTGTTTTAAATACATAGTTCAAACTTATACATCTATAGATACAGGCACCAAAAGGGGCTGCCAAACTGCATGCCTCCGAAATGGCCATGGATAGTGCCTGGCCATATCAGATGGAATCTACCTTTTCCAAACCATGTGCATCTGGTGCATGAGTCAGGGTATCCTCTGCATCAATCAACTATTGTTCTGAGTTATGGGTCTCCTCTTTCACATTCTTCTCCATTCTCTACATACATGTGATGTGTATAGTGTATAACCAACGACCCTCAGCGATTCTCTCTGAGTAATTATGGGGCCATCACTTGACCACGTCTCAGTCCAGCACCAAAACGGCTGGTCATGTGGTTCTGACACGTTCTGTTTCCTCAGATGTCTGGTCTTTCAGCTTGGCACAGATTTATGGTCGAGACCATGTCACCTGATCCTCTTGAGAAAACACGGGATGGTATGGTATAAGTAATTACACTCGTTCTCACAGTCTTCATGGGTTGGATATTGACTGAACCTGATTCCATTGCTTCGAAGCATCGCAAAGCATCACAAAATCCTCATTTATCCCATCAAACATGAGAGAACAACAACAACAACAACAACAACAACAACAACAACAACAACAACAA